AACATCTTTGATGCACACATCAAGAAGTGCGGCGGTTTCACCAATGCCATCACAGACTGCGAGGACACGGTCTTCTACTTTGAGGTGGCCGAAAAGCATTTGGACTCAAGTCTCGACTATTTCACGGCACTGATGAAGCACCCGCTGATGAAGCAGGAGGCCATGCAGCGCGAACGCTGCTCTGTGGACTCAGAGTTCCAGCAGATCGTCCAGGAGGATGAGACACGTCGTGACCAGCTGCTGGCCAGCCTGGCCACAGATGGTTATCCACACGGCACCTTTGCATGGGGCAATCTGAAGACCCTCAAGGACAACGTCGACGACCAGGCGCTGCACCAGCTGCTGCACGAAATAAGGCGCGATCATTATGCCGCCAATCGTATGTTCTTGTGCCTGCAGGCACGCCTGCCCATCGATGAGCTGGAGACGCTGGTGCTGCGCCACTTTGCCGATATACCCAGCAACGGGGTATTGGCGCCGGATCTGAGCAAGTTCAGCTACAAAGATGCCTTTCGCGCCGAGTTCCATGAGCATGCGTTCTTCGTGAAGCCCGTGGAGAACGTGTGCAAGCTGGAGCTGACCTGGGTGCTGCCCAGTGTGCGCCAGTATTATCGCAGCAAGCCGGATCAGTTTCTGGCCTTTGTCCTGGGCTACGAGGGCAAGGGCAGCCTTTGTGCCTATCTGCGCCGTCGTCTCTGGGCCCTAGAGCTGGTCGCTGGCATTGATGACAACGGCTTTGATCTCAATTCCATGTACAGTCTGTTCAATGTGTGCATCTACCTGACCGATGAGGGCTTCAAGAACCTGGACGACGTGCTGGCCGCCACGTTTGCCTATGTGAAGGTGCTCGCCCAGGCCGATGCCCAGACGCTGCGGACTATCTACGACGAGCAGCAGGGCATCGAGGATACGGGCTTTCGCTTCCAACCGCAACGTCCGGCCATGGACAATGTGCAGCAGCTGGTGCTAAACTGTAAATACTTTCCGCCCAAGGATGTGCTAACCGGCAAGGATCTGTATTATGAGTACAATGAACAGCATTTAGCCAATCTAATCGGACACCTCAACGAGTTCAAGTTCAATCTGATGCTGACCGCACGCAAATACGAGGATCTGGTGTTCGATAAGCGCGAAAGCTGGTTTGGCACCGAATACACGAGCATACCCATGCCGGAAAAGTGGCAGCGTTTGTGGAACGAGGTGGATCCCAAATCAATGCCCGAACTCTTCTTGCCCGAGGCCAATCGCTTTGTCACCCAAGACTTTAGCGTCTACTGGCACAAGCTGGGCAAACCCGCGCTGCCCGAGGCGCCCAAGAAGCTGCTGCAATCGGAGATCTGTGAGCTCTGGTTCCGTGCCGACGACAAGTATGAGCTGCCCGAGGCGTACATGTATTTCTACCTAATCTCACCGCTGCAGCGCAAAAGTGCCAAAAAGTAAGTGTCTGTCTCTCTCTTTCTCTATGGGCTAAACTGCAACACTCTCGCTCTCAACTGTAGCGATGCGATGTGCGCCTTGTACGAGGAGCTGGTCAAGTTCCATGTCAGCGAGGAACTGTATCCGGCCACCAGTGCGGGTCTCAACTATACCTTCAACGTGGGCGAGAAGGGTCTCATTCTGCAGGTGCACGGCTACAACGAGAAACTGCATCTGCTTGTCGAGGCCATTGCCCAGGCCATGGTCACCGTGCAGTCAACCCTTAATGAGAACATCCTTGCCACCTTCGTCAAGGATCAGCGCAAAAGTTACTTTAACACGCTAATCAAGCCGCGTGCCCTTAACAGGTGAGTCCCTGTATTCCTCTTTGTCTGCCTATTTTAATTTCCTCTTTTCTCTATGCCGCCGTCTCTTTCTGCGTTAGGGACGTGCGCCTCTGCGTGGTGGAGCACATGCGCTGGCTGATGATTGATAAATACAAGTGCCTGAATGAGATCACGCTGAAGGATCTGCAGGAGTTTTCTGGCTTATTCCCGCAGCAGCTGTACGTGCAGGCCCTGGTGCAGGGCAACTATAAGGAGGTGCATGCACACGATGTGATGAACACGCTGCTGAGAAGGCTCGGTTGCAAGCCAATTCAGGAGCATTATTATGTGGAAGATCGGACGGTGCAGCTGCCACAGGGCGCCCACTACATACGCTGCCATGCGCTCAACGAGCAGGATACAAACACTGTGATCACGAACTACTATCAGATCGGGCCGAATAATGTGCGGCTCGAGTGCATTCTCGATCTGCTGATGATGTTTGTGGAGGAGCCGCTGTTCGACCAGCTGCGCACCAAGGAACAGCTGGGCTACCACGTTGGCGCCACGGTCCGCATGAATTACGGCATTGCCGGCTACTCGATCATGGTTAATTCGCAGGAGACAAACACAAGTGCCAGCCACGTGGAGAAGCGCATCGAGGTGTTCCGCAACAATATGCTGCAGATACTCGAGGAGATGTCCCAGGAGGACTATGATCACACGCGCGACTCTCTAATCAAGCTCAAGCAGGTCGTCGACAATGCTCTGGAAACCGAGGTGTCCCGCAACTGGAACGAAATTGTCAACGAGGAGTACATGTTCGACCGTCGACGGCAGCAAATTGAGGTGCTGCGCACTCTGACCAAGCGCGAAATAGTCGCCTTTCTGCTGGACAACGAGATCACCAATATGCGCAAGGTCTCCATACAGATCATTGGACACCAGCCCGATAAGACGGCCAAGCCGAAGACAAAGCCGCTGACAGATGCGGATGCGGATGCAGATGTGGAGAAAACGCCGACCCAATCCGAGCCAAATGATGATGACAAAGATGACAACGACGAGGACATGGAGAGCTCCGACGAAGATGAGGATGAGCTCTTCCAGGCGTTGGCCAACAAACTGAATGTTGTATTCCTGCCACAGGAGGGCGATGCCACCACCATTGTGGATATTGCCGACTTCAAATCAAATCTGGATCTATTTCCCACGAACCTGCCCAATCTGCTGGACAACACAAAGACCACAATTCTCGAGGATGCGCTTATGAATACGTGAGCGTCTCACTTGGCGCGCACACACATCGACATCAGATACCCTGCAAAATGCACATAACCACCAAAAAGCAATAGCAACAAATTGTTAATTAGGACTTTTTCAAGATATTTCAAGCAAAATTAATGCAATCAAAAAGCTCGCGACATTTTCAAAATGCACGTCGTCTTTTTAGCCAAGGTCCACACACACACACACACACACACACACATACAAGCACACACATTTACATACACATTACTTGACGTTTTAAAACTAGAGAAATGCATTTGTCCTTTCGCGATTTTCACGCGATTTGTAACTGACGACATTTAAAACAAAACAAAAAAAAGATAATAAAAGAATCAACAAAATTGACCTTAATCAGTTATTAAATTATATAAATCAAATAAATTATCCAAAGACTCACTTGTCTATCAATATATAATAAACCGGTTTTTGTTCTGACTGACGACTGATTGACTACCTGATTGATTGATCAACACACAGCCTTAACCGCAAGAAAAAGGCGGCTGAAATTTTTAAGTTTTTTTTTTTAGTTCCGCCTGCCACTGGGGAAAATTGGCGGAATGCTTTGATTCCAATGTTTTTGGTTTATTTTCCGGCAAAGCTCGAATATTGTGCGTCATGAAATATCGTTTGTAAGTTGTCATCCATCTTATTGTTTTCCATTTATTTTGTTAAGTTTAAATAATAAACAACAGATTTACTAAGGAACATTATATAAAATATGTATATAACCGACTGATCTACCCCATATGGAAATCTAGCTAGATAGCGGGCTTCACAGCTCAATTTCGGGTTTGGTTACGAATTCACGACTGTAAGCCCAACATATGTTAGCTGGTTCGGTTCACGGTTCGAACCAGTTCCTCAAAACTCAGTTTCGTTAAATGAACCTAGGTATCCACATCTTTGAACCTATATTCTGGTTCTAATTACACCATTTTCAACTCAATATAGTTTTCTAAATTAGTTTTTTTTTTTTCTAATACCAATTTTTTCAATTATTCAACTATTTGTTTTGGTTTATGCGGTTTAAGCTTCGGTTCGCAGCGAATAAACATTTTGCCGTTCCAGGCCCAAATCGGTTCGGTTCATAACCGGTTCGCAGGCTTGCCATTAATCCTTTTTACTATTAACTATTTACCAGATATTGATTAATAACACGCCGATTTGCCGGTATGGGATCATTATTTCTTTTTATTATTATATATTATACGTTGTTCTTTATTCATACACGTGTATGTGTGTGTGTTTATTTACATCGATGAACGTGTATGTGTGTGGATGTATATATAAACATTAAAAAAGTTCGTTTTATCAAAAAAAAAAAAAAAAAAAAATTAACAATATTAAAAGAGAAAAACATGAATTTAATTTCGTTAAATTTTGCAATTGTGCTCGATTATTAATAATAATATTTGTTTACAGCAAATGCGTCTGCGTTTGACAATTTAACAACCCAATAACTGGGGGCAGCTGGCTAGAATAATATATGCCATATGTAAATACAAGCTAGGTACACAGATAATATATATAAATAGGACAAATCTCGATTGTTTCGTAAGGATATAAATATATATATATATATATATAGTATATAGATGCAGCTATATAGATATGAGCTTTATGCTTGAGGGTTTGTTTTTAGGGCATTTTTCATTTCTTTGTTTACTTAACAATAAGTAACAATATAGTCAATAGTTTATTTGTTTATGCTGCTTACGATCGTCTTGTTTTTTTTTTTCTGTTTTCTTTCACAATTGAACTTAAGGATAAACGTAGAATGAACCAAACGCAAATCGAATAATAATACACAACAAAAAAAAAAATAAAATAAAAAAAAAAAGAATTCTTAATAAGAATGGAGAAATAACAACAGATTTATATATGTATAGTGAAAAAAAATGAACGTAAAGTAAGTTTTTTTTTTGATTGTTTTTCTTTTGGATTTTGGATTGTTGTATATACAGTTTGATTTATAGTTAAGGATTTCTATATGTTATATTTATATATGGACATATATGCAGTGCTCTTTCATTGTGGTCGCTTCAGAGCTTTTGCAGCTCGGTGGTGTCGCCCAGATAGCGGGACTGCAGAATCCTTGGCGTCCGCTCGTTGGCATCCTGGAGCAGGCCCTCCTCGTGCTTGCCGTTGCCATTGCCATTGGTATTGGCGCTAAAGATGCGCGAGATGAGCGACGTATTGGAGCGCTTAAATGCGGCCATCCGTTTGCCATTCATCAGCTCGGGCAGATCGTCGAGGCCGCGATGCAGCGACAATTTGTCCAGCTCCGTTTCGGAGGAGCCATAGCGTCTGGCACGCTCCGCCGCCAGCTGAGCCTCGTATTCGGCGGTGCGCAACGTTTTCGCCGTCGGCTTGCGATACATCTTGAGCAGCAGGGAGGAGCAGACGACGCTAACCGAACTGGCCGCCATGGCGACCGATGCCATCCAGGGCTGCAGTGTGAAACCGAATGGGGCAAACAGACCGCTGGCAAGCGGTATACCCAACAGATTGTACATGCTGGCGAACAGGAAATTGTAGCGTATGCGACGCACCGTGCAGCGGGACAGATCCAGGCAGGCGACCACATCCAACAGATCGTTGCGCATCAGCACAATGTCCGCCGCCTCGGCGGCCACATCTGTTCCGGCGGCAATCGTTATGCCCACATCGGCCTGCGCCAAGGCGGGGCTGTCGTTGACGCCGTCGCCCACCATGGCGACCCGCACGCCGCGCTGCTGTATCCGCTGGATTTTTGCCACCTTGTGTGAAGGCAGCACCTCCGCATAGACGGTGCGTATGCCCACCTGCCAAAAAAAAACCAAAGATCAGTCAAGATATGCTAGAGGATTTTTCTATGCGACATTGGCCGGGCTCCATCTCCGAGCTCATGGAATATTTGATGTATTATATATTTATTCTTAGTCGGCATCAACAGCTGACCCTATCCACCCTTCTCTTAGGCTTCTTCAGCTTTGCCAAGCCAGTTCCTAAATTCAAAATTCACAAAGATCGGACTATAAACACCGAAGTTAATCGAGAATGCATTGCCCAAACATTGAAAGAAAGGAAGATTCTAGGTACAACCTTAGTACGCAAGATGTGACACTTTTTTTTTACACCCATCTCAAAATGCATTTTCATAGCAATTTTCGAATATAAGTTGAAAGCCATTCCAAGAAGTAAGAATGCAACCGTCTTCCACTTGTATTACACAGTTGGGGAAGGAATTAGTTAAAGCAAATACTATGGTAATTAATCAATTAATCAGTCAATCAGTCAGTCAGTCAGTCAGTCAATCGGGAAAAAGAGTTAAACAGTTGAATCTTTAATATTTAAAACCCACCTCACGGGCTATGCTCGCCGCTGTGTTCTTGTTGTCGCCGGTCAGGAGAACCACATCGATGCCCATGCGCTTGAGCGTATAGACGGCCAGATGGGCCTCCGGCTTGACCATGTCGGCGACGGCGAACATGCAGACCAGCTGACCGTTCAGGGCGCAGAGGACAGCGGTGTGTCCCTTGTGCTCCTCGCGGGTCATGCAATCGCTGATCTCCAGCGGCACCTCGATGGCATTGCGCTGCATCCATTCGCGATTGCCGATCAGAACATGGATTTCGGGTCCGTCGATCAGGGGCGGTTGATCCTGTGGCGGGTGCTGTTGCTGCCTCAGCTGCTGCTCCAGATCGAGTGCGCCGTCCAGAGCCAGCAGCTGCTGCTGTTCCACGAACTTGTGCTGCAGCTGGAGCTGGTCAATGCTGGCACCGTTGTCCACAGCGATCTCGCTGTGCGGATGGGTGCGCCACAGATTCTCATAGTTGATGATCCGCTCCGCATTGCAGGCCTGCCGCAGCGCCTGCTCATAGTTGGAGACGGTGGCGCGTATTCCGCATCCGGGCACCGACTGAAAGTTCGAGCTCTTGCCAAAGCTAATCTGCACGTTTAGCATCTCCTTTGCGAAGTGCACAATCGCCGAGGCAATGGGATGTTCGCTGTTCTGCTCGGCGGCGCCAATGATGGTCAAGGCACGGGCCAAACTGCATACCTGGGGCGGCACAAAGAGCGTCACCCGGCTGGTCATGGGTGTGCCATGTGTGATGGTGCCCGTCTTGTCGAAGACCACAGTCTTGACCTAAATTGAGGACAAGATGAAGCCGTTGAAGATATAGACAAATGTATAGCAGCAGGAGGTCAGCAGGAGATGAGTCAGAGGGAGGAAGGAATGGAGGTGATGGTGTGGGAGGAGGTGGGGTAGAGATTGAGATTGAGTTGGAGCGGGAAAAGTTAAAGTGGAAACAGATGTGTGGAGATGGAGCAAGAGAATGAGATGAGATAATGGAGGAGATGGAGCGCAAAGGAATGCAGTGAAAGGAAATTGAGCGGGTTCATTTATGGAGCAGGAGAACATGGACGAGCAGCTAGATTAGAATAGTCACCTTGTGGGCATTTTCCAGGGCGGTGGCACCTTTCACCAGGACGCCATTTGTGGCGCCGGTGCCGGTGGCAACCATGACAGCGGTGGGCGTGGCCAGGCCCAAGGCACAGGGACAGGCAATCGCCAGAACGCTGAGCGCACACTTGAACGCATAACTGATCACAATTGTATTGCGATCCATATGCATCTTGTGCTCCATGGCCACTGGCACCAGATCGGGATTGACAAAGCCGGCAATGATCCAGCCAATGAGCGTAACGCTCGATATGGCCACCACGAAGGGCACAAAGTAGCCGGCAATGCGATCCGCCAGCTGTTGGATGGGCGCCTTCGATGTTTGTGCCTCCTCGACGAGCCGGACAATCTGGGCCAGCGTTGTGTTCTCGCCGGTATGCGTGGCCTCCACGAGCAGCATACCGTTCCGATTGATTGAGCCACCGATGACAACGGCACCCTTCCGCTTGGCCACCGGCATCGATTCGCCGGTGATGAGGGACTCATCACAGCTGGAATGGCCATAGAGCACCTTGCCGTCGACGGGCACCTTGGCGCCGGGTATAACCTTGAGCACATCGCCGCGCTGCACATAATCGACAGAGATCGTCTTCTCGCTGGAAATGTCAAAGTCCGGCGAGATCTCCACAAGCAGCGCATCGGCTGCCTTCAGGGACAACAGCTTGGATAGCGCCTCCGACGTCTTACCCTTGGCTATGTGCTCCAGCCAGCGGCCCAGCGAGATGAAGATCAGCAGCATCGGCGGCGTATCGAAAAATGTGAGCGGCGAGCTATTCTGTTCCATGAGCACGGCGGCAATGACCACCGCCACGGAGTACACATAGGAGATGGTCGTCACCATTGAGATGAGCACATCCATGTTGGTGGTGCCGTGCTTGATGGCGCGATACGATTGCACATAGAAGTGATAGCCGCCAAAGAATTGCACCGGCGTCGAGAGCAGAAACATGACCAAGTTCTCCATGGAGAGGCCCGGCACCAGGCAGCACATGTTCGCGTGCCCCTTGTCGCTCATCTCCAGCATAAAGTAGATCATGGCGACCATGCACGGCCCGCCAAAGATCAGCGAGATGAGGAACGCGTTTCGCCACTTTCGTATCTCCTCCTTGTGCTCCAGATAATTGTGCGCCATCTTGTCCCGGCCACTGAGCAGCTTCGCCTGGAAGCCGAGCGCCTCGATGGCCTCGCAGATGCTCCGGGGTCCCGTGTCATCGGTGATGTATCGGAATTTGCCTGCAAAACAGCAGATAAACAGTTTAGAGATTTCAAATGTTAACCGTAGCTTCTTCTATTTAATCATCGATAGGTCAGTTATCGATATAGAAATCGATTTTCCGATAAGGTTTTCATTAAAGCTAAGGACAACAAATTTTGGTTCACATGTTTCTTACGGCAGTCCAGTGTTTAGGGTATCTTCCAGTCGGACAGTTCCGACTCGCTTGATTGATTTACATTATTACAGTTGCGTCCATGAAAGTTGTCATGGTCTCTCAAATGAAAAGCTGCGCCAGGCACGTTTCCACCTTTCTACCTACATCTACATCGAACTTCAAGTGAAAGTACAGAAAGGTAAATTAATTGATAAAAACCAAAGTTAAGCATATAGAAAGCCATTGCTTCTCAATGCAGCCCATGGATACGTGAGAAAAGTACTTCCAGTTAACTGCTAACTAGTTATATTAAAAAAAATTGTATTCCTCAATGAGTCGTGTTTAAAGCTCATTTTTCATATTACTTTTCAAATTAATAATCAGCTTTTACAAGTCTAATAATAGGATACACTTATGCAAGAGAGAGACAGAGATAGATATAAGCTTTCAGCATGAAGATAAAATATATGCAATAAACAGGCAAAACTTGAAGTTGTCGCGAGCTTTTAAAAGCCTTTTTGCACATTCAATTAGTTTTAAAGCTTTCAAGTTTTCATGCGCTTTCAAAAAAAAGCTCATTTGCATAGACTTTTATGGGCTTCAATATTAGAACCAGTGAAATATTGGGCTAGGTGCCCTGCAGTATATATATACATACATACATATACATGTACATGCAGAACCAATATTAGATAAGATTAGAAAAGAAAAAAACAATATAATAACTCGTAAAAACTATCTTAATAAAAAAACAAACTGTTTCCAACTGCTGCTAGAGCAGATTACGAACACTCGAAGCATATTCGGATTAGCTAATTCAACAGATTATTGATATTTTTGGATTATGCGCCAGTGTGAACACTTTTATGGACATGCCTGTGGTCATGCTTACAAAACTCTTTGCCTCGACGCTGTCTTGACAATTCCAATTGGAATTGGAGCACAAAAGTATTCAACTGGATTTCAGTTACTTTTTTGTTGCTGTTTCTTTGAACTATAGAGATTTTGTGTTATTATTAACCGGTTCCATTGCCCGGATTCGATTGCAAACTGAAGCTGGTTGTCTATTAACTACCCCCCCCCCCCCCCCCCACACTTCGCACACAGATCGTTAATCACTCGAGTAGCGGGCTTTCATTTCAATGCATTCACTTCTGCGTGTGCGCGTGTGTTTGTCTGTCTGTGTGTGTGTGTGTGTCTGCTAGTGTATTATGTATTTATGTACGTATGTATGTATTTGTGTCTGGGCCAACATGGGCTGTTGAACTTAGCCAAAGCGACAGGCAACAGGCAAATCCGGCACTTCTGCTGGCCAATGTACACTTTTAGAGGGTATTATAGGTTGGACATGAAATGTGTAACCCATATATGTAGATATAGGAAGAATCGGTCGGCATATTGACTTCTTCTCTGAACAAATTTTCTGTCTTTGAAGTTATCTTCCCCAAAACTCAGAAATTGCGAGCTGTACTATTCACACTAAAGACCTAAAGCCATATGTATGTATATATACAAGGGTATTAAATCTTCGGCTTAGATAGTTGCCTCCTGTTTTATTTCAAATAGTTTGTGTTTCTTTTTTTCGGGGATTGTCGCATTTGCAGGCAATTGTTGCTGTAAGCTAAGATACGAGATAAAGTAACGATAAGATAGGAGAACTTGTTCTAGTTATAGTTCTTATTCTCATTGTACTATTTAGTGTCTGAGTGTGTGTGTGTGTGTGTGCGTGTGTGTGCGGGGCGAGACTTTGTTGTAGACCCTGATTAACAGTTAGGAGTTGCAGGCAAATTTCTAAAAATATCATACATACACGCATACACACATACTTGGTTAGATATGTGGCAGCTTAATAGTTAGATTGTCGGTTAGTTGAACACTGGGAAAGTACAGTTATTTTCGTTAACAGTACAGTTGTGACTGTAGCGGCAGAGGAGATAAGCAGAAAAATCACAAGCTAAGTAATTTGCATTTGCGGGTCCCACAAAAGAAAATCCCACGTCCAGACTCTCTGAATCATGGCAGATAAGAAAGTATTTCATCATGCCAACAATCGAATCATCCAGGCAGGGGGACTTACATCAATCAATTTGGATATACATACATACACATATATATACAATACATTTACATAAGCCTATATATGTATATTATATGCACATATATTTTTGGAGAAATCGTGTGCAAATAACTATCAAAGCGGGATTAATAAAAATAAACCCATCATAGTTTGCCTCATTGTCCAATTTATATACCCTGTTGACTGTAAAACTGGGTATTATGAAAAAAAAAAACGAAGACATTTGCAATAGTTTATACGTGTATTCCTGGAGATCTTGGACAGGTGTGTCTATGCCCAAGGATTCGAACTTTCTTCTGTACGCATGGAAAATGCACTCTTGGATAACTCCGGTGTTTACAGTTCGATCTTTGTTCAATTTTCAGGGCTTATATTTGATATACAAAGATGTGTATATACAAAAGTCAAATGCTGTGCTTCTAAAATTTTCTATTTACCCTATACGAGAGCCTAAATACCACATGGACGGGCAGCTATATAGAGAATTCATTACAGCTACGGTATTCATTATGAGCTTTTTATCCCCATCTCCAATCTCCTTCAGACTATACAATAATATTTTATTTTTGTCTTTTAAAAAAACATATAGTTCTCAATTGATATTATTTTAACATATTGACAGCTGATCAAAATTTCGTACCGTGTTTCTAGATTTAGTCGGAAACCTCGTTTATTTTTCGTCCCACAACGAATCTGTTTCTGTATCCTCAGTCTTCACAGCTAGCTTAAAGTGCTTTTCAAAAATTAACCCATGAAAATAATTAATTAACAATTTTTCTTTGTTGTGTTTTTTTTTTTGTGGAATTTCACAGTTGGTTATTCTTGATCTGCATCAACAACTGAGACTCAAAGACAGACACTATTGGTCTGTGGGTACACTTATAATTTACTTTTATATATTGAACATTTTCTATAAGCTGTGACAGACATAATATTTGATAGTAGTCTGATATGCTGGATAAGCTTAGCCTATATTTGATTAATTCCAAAATGTCATAATGCTTAATGCAAGAAAAGGGTAAATTTTTAACTACAAATATATAAGAGTACACTTGTGTATTGGCTGCGAGTATTTTTGAGTACATACCCATAAATTTGCAAGTACGCGAGTATCAAGATCCAAAAAATATATTTGTGATACGATTCACGGTTCATATTAACTCCTTGCCTGCAGGCTTGCTTTGTGAACCTGGTTTGTTATATACTTTAAACATTTTAATGGAACAATTCAATATTTACAATTTACTATTGCCCGTTGTACTAAAAATATTGGAAGTTGTAAATATTTGCATATACAAGATGTGGGCTAAATTTAATCTCAATTTAAAATTAACAGCCGCCAAATATGGCGAGAAGAAGGCAATAATTGGGGACCAATTTATCTGGAAAACAGTATAGTCCGGTTAAAGGTATACTCCGGGAAAGTCCATGATGAGTACTCCATTTAACATTTTGTTGCAAATTACAGGGTATTTGGCAGCATGCATACGGCAACGAACTGAACAGTGGCAAAGCGTGTGCAAAAATTGTATGCATTGGCGCCGAGTGGAGGCGGGCAGGGATTACCATATCAACCGTTCATGTTCGAATTTTTAATGCTAATTATCAGCGAATCGAAATAGCGACGATCGATCGAAACGAATCGATCGATTCTCTGTCCTCAATTTAAACGCTGGCCAAGATAATCAACATTTTTGTGCTGTTCGCCTGCGTGCGTGTGTGTGTGTGTGTGTGTGTGTGTGTGTGTGTACATATGTACATCTTGTTCACCCACAATTACAAGCGCTACAATCTCGCTCCCTCTCTCGCGCTTACTCTGTCTCTCGCATATGCTAGACATTATTTCAACTTTTTGCTTGCTTAGTTCGCACCGTTCGTTGTACCGTTCGTTGTTCTTGTTGCTCTGTTCCTGCTGTTGTTCTTGTTGTTGTTGTTGTTGTTGCATCTTATCGCTTCGATTCGTTTTCATTTTTCGAACATTTCCCATTGTTGTAGTCGCTACTGTTGTTGTCCCCCGTATTGCCATTAGCTGGCGGCCCGTCCGCGTCACTTATCTGATAAGCATCGGCTGGCAAAACATATGTTTCTCTCAACTCAAACAACTTTACCGTAAGTTACAATTTTTCTTCTTCTTCTTCTTCTGCTTTTCCTTCCCTTTTTTTTTTGTAGTTTCCCAACGTGTGGACCAATTTGACACAACACACAAAAAAGTGTCGTAAATTGGTTACAAAAAGAAAAACAAAAAGAATTTTGCAATTAATCTAAAAAACTCGCAGTTGTTGGCAAACTTTTGATTAAAAAAAACACACAAGCAACAAGTCGTAGCAATAATAACTGCTTACACACAATTGTTTAGGATCGTAATGAGTTTGTTTCCGCGCTTATTTCGCTTCTGTTCAACCTTCATGCTGTGACTCTTACATATGTATATCATGTTAGAAGTTAATGAGTACATATATCTTCATATGTACATATGTATGTATAATGAGCCAGCTTTCAAGCTCAAACAATATGATAATAAATTGCAATTAAATGTTTGACTCATATATCATACTTAAGCGATATAAATCCAATCTATATAATATGAGCTCCTTTAAAATGCGACTTATATACATATGTACATATGTATGTATCTTTGAAAAAGAGTATCCGATGCACAAAAAATTCCATTCTCGCCTTACGTTAAGCCCAATAGCGACAATATCGCCTTAAAAGTGAAAAGTTGCACATTTAGTATCTATGGGAAATATTCGACTCTTATATCAACATATCAGCATTTCATAACAAATTGCATGTGCAATGAGTATGAAAAGCTTATTTATTTATGTATGTATGTACATATATCGCAGCGAGGATCGCTTTTCCTGCTGTCAGTCATTTTTTGAGCGTGTTCAATCTGGCAACGGTTGAAAATTGCACGCTCTTGCCTCTAATTACTGCAGGCTAAAATGAAAGTGTGCAAAACAATTTCACAGCTGCCAGTTCGCTGGTAAATATACATACATATGTATATACATATACATAAATATATGTATGTATATAACCAGCTTTATTACAGTTTCAACCCAACCTAACAAAGGCAATTTTGCATTTCGACCCCGGAGATTGGGGCATTGCGCATGAATTTTGCATGGCAACAACAGGAATCGATTAATGCAACAGTTATTCGAGTAAATACTTTAATTAGAGATGAACGCCCGTTCGATAACCTCAAGCAAGACACGAACACGAATGCATCCCATACAAATATGAAAATCAAACAAAATGTACAACTTTTGTTTTAAAATAAAAAAAAACTTAAAGAAACGAACATAAAACATCTTTGCTTGCAATTGTGATTGTGAGTATGCATCATTGTGAATCCTGTTTGAATTCAATATGTTCGATAAGGTTATATTATATACATTATATTTTTATATAGAACAATTAGTAATATGTTCGCTTGTGAATAAAAACTTAGAGAGATAAGAAATGTCAACAAATAGGAAACTAAAATGCATTTGTTGCCTTGAGTCTAAAGTTCTTAAATTTTCTTTTAATTATTATATATAAGTCTTGAAAACCCATTTAAATTGGTCCAGCCAGATATTTTAATAAATAATATATCATTATTCAGGAAAGGTTGGTGTTTCATATGACAAATTAAAGCTTTTCGTATATCGGACTAAGATTTCAACTATTGGATGTTAATGATCCGAATAAGTGTCGCAATACGATTTACCTAATGATATAATATAGTTAATATACTTGGCTAGGATTATGTCAGGTCAAAAGCAAACAAAATGTACGATGAATATTAATATATTTATTTATTTTGTATAACTTCCTTAATTATCGTGCCTAGCACAAATGCGCAGAGGAAACACGGCACGCGCCCACCTCTAACAGAGCGCATGCTCTTGCATAACTTAATATGTATGTATGTATGTATCGCTCGCCTTTATCTATCAGAAAGCAAAAGCGCAAATCTGCGAAGCACAGCGAAAACAACAACGAAATGAAGGTGAATGTGAACGTTGCGCATGCGCAGCGAATAAAAAAGCTAAAGAGCAGCAAACAAAAATAAACCAAAACAAAATAAAGGAAAAGACGAGAAACACACACACACACATACTGCATGTGCACGAGTGGGAGAGAGACAGCGCGCTGCAGGAGAGGGCGAGACTCTTTTACTTTCAGCTTAAAGCGAATTAACAATGAAAAATTATGACTCCAAGCTTAAGCTGAAGGCTTTAGAAACCGTTTATTGGAGAAAAGGCCACGAAAACCGTTGCAATTGTGGTCTGGATGTATCTAGATGTGTGTGAGTGTGTGTGTGTGTGTGTGTCTGTGTATATGCATATGTATTTTTTGCATCTATAGCTATTCGTATCCGTAGCTGCTTAAGTATCTGTAAGGCAACAATCCAATCGAGAGCACAGAAAACAAATGCGCCCTAGATTGTAATATATGTATGTATGATTATATATATACATATATACATATATACACATGGGCATGCGTGTTGTCTGTGATCATATAAAGTACACATACATACATACATATGTGAGTAGAGTGCATTGTTGAAAATGATTCAACTCTTTAGACTTTCGATGACTCTTTCATATAATGGGCTGTACCTAAAACTTTAACTGGGTACCCCAACCCCATCGAACCCCCCCCCCCCCTTCCCGACCCCTCCTGCTAATCACATTGTTTTATTTAGAAATGTGAAATTGAACATGTAAAAGGCATTTATTGTGTTGAAGCCTAGTTACATTTAAAAGCTGGTATGTATTTATTTAGTAAAATGCAAACAGTTCTTGAGAATTGGCATTCCCTTTAAAAATTGTATAGGCTGGGTATCTAGGCATTGTTTCGATTATTATTATTATCATTATTATATTGTATTCTCAAAACTGTATCGTTTTATTCCCTTAATTTGAACAATATCGGAAGAGCGTATTATATACATACATATGTATATGGACATATAGGAACATAGGAACAACCAGTTCGCAGTGGAGTTCTTTGTCTGCCTGCAAGAGTATTTTATCTTCGGCTCTACAAAGAAAATTGTTTTTTTCTTTCTTTATTTATCTTATCTTTGTTGTATTGTAATGCTTTATTGTCTCAATGTTTAACTAGTTTCAATTTCCAGCTACCAACTACTAGACCTTGTGATATACCCAATATATAGAGCCTCAGTTGCATTTACGAAAAGAAGAAGAATCGATTGAGATAGAAAAGAATGTTGGAAGTTTGGGGCTTACTTATTTCTGGATTTAAACTTTAATCGCTTAAATCAGGGCTAGTCTTTAAAAGTCTGCTAACCTGTTAATATCAATAAAAGATATTGTTGAATTTTTTGCATTTCCTTTTAATTTGTACAACAAAGCGTAAATATTTACACATATCGCACCCCATTTGTGACTCTATGTACATACATATGTACATACTTATAATAACTCAGATAATGTACTCGGATGTTTTTGAGAAATAAGTACACTCGCATTTAATCACATATTTGTTATTGTTGTTGTTATTGTTCTTTGTTGCTGTGAGCATTGCCCTGGGCGGGTTCTTGCTTATCAAGCATAATACTCTCCTCTATATACATACATACATACAAATGTATATATAGAGTAAACAATTGCAGATGATCGAAGCATAGAATCCTGATTTGACGAAACGTTTTGTTTTGTGGGGTATATTGGCACGTGATGTCAACAATACGAACAACAGGTGCATGGCATAAGTATATATTACGCCATCGAGAGCAGCAGACGTGCCTGTGCAATTGTCCAGGTGCACAGGTGCTATTGTTTCGAGTTGCAAATATTGATTTAAGGCATGCTGCAAGTGCGAGTATATGAAATTGTAAGCTAATTATGCAACACTGGCAGCAATTAAAACTCGTCAAGTCGATTTTTAAGATCTTTGATCTTTACTTTTTTGGTTAAAAGAAAAACTTATAGCGAATAAATCGAATTATGCTTGGAACTAGAAAGAAACTCGTATAAGCCAGCAAAATGTTTGCCTCAAACTAGTTCAATGAACCGAGGACGCATGCAAGACCTTGCCTGGAACTAGTTGCGTGAGCCAAAATAAAATGAAATACTTTTGGAACTTGTGTCCTCTTTGACAACTAAAACTAGACTTTGAATTGCAAATCGAACCTACTTAGTATGCAATTGAATTACAGGGTAACTGCTAGTCAGTTAGCATTCACATAAATTGATGCATATGTATATTGTCGGGCGCAAACTTACCGCGTTTTGTTAGCAGCGTGACCGAAGCGGCCGTAACGCCGCGCAGCTTGAGCACGTGAGTCTCGATCTTGTTGACACAGGAGGCACAGGTCATGCCCGATATTTCCAGCTCCACCTCGGCCTCACCGTTGTCGGGCTCATCGATGAGCTCCGTGGGAAAGCCGAGCTCGGTTATTGTTTTGGCAATATTCTCGGCGGTGAGAACATTCGCATTGTACTTGACCTCCGCCTTGGCGGCGAGCAATGCCACCAATATGCTATCCAGCCCATAGATCTTTCTGCAGTGCTTCTCAATGGCCGCCACACAGCTGGCGCAGGTCATGCCCCGTATATGGAGAAAGCATTTCGTGAGCAGCTCCTGCTCCACGGGCACCAAGGTGGCAGCACCGTTTGTTGTGCCTGTCGACAGTTGCTTGCCAGGTGAATGCCTCGGCGTTGCCGTTCGCTTCGGTGTGGGCGTAGATTTGGGTGTGGACGTGGGCGTGGGCGTGGACACAGGCGCTGTGGCATTCAGATCATTGGCCACGCTCGCCTCAAAGCCCATGTCATCGATAATTTCAGCAATGCTCGCCGCCGTCAGCTGATCGGGATCGTACTGGACGCGAGCGCTCTTCTCGGCCAGCTGCACCTCGATGTGGTGGACGCCCGGCTTGCTGGACACATGAGCCTCAATGTTGCGCACACACGACTGGCACGTCATGCCCAGGATGCGCAATTGGGCGCTAGCGCTGGCCGGGCTTATTTCCGGCTGATAGCTGCACTCGAAGCCCATCTCATCGATCAGGTTGGCAATGCGGCCGGCATCCATCTGGCTGGGCACGTAGTCAAAGTAGCCGGCGTTCTCCGACAGCTGGACACGCGCCTTGATCACGCCTGGCTGCTGGCCCATATGGGACTCAATGTTGCGCACGCACGACTGGCAGGTCATGCCCACAATGGGTAAACGCACGCTGGCCATGTTCGCGGTGGCGTCGGCGACTGCGTCGGCGGCTGCGTCGGTGGCGGCAGCAACAGGCTGCAGCGCTGCTGGCGTTGGCGTTGGCGCCCGATTAATCAGCTGTTCGATTGTGGCGTGCGCATTTTTGGCATTCGCGATTTGGTCGTCATTCATTTTAAATTTGCATTTCACTGACTCGTTTCGTATTGGTGTTTGTTTTGTTGGTCTAATTGGACTTTTATTTTTTCTTGTTTATTGTTGCTTTACAATTTATCAGTGGCGCGCGTGTGTGTGTGCGAGTGTGTGTGTGTGTGTGCGAGTGTGCGAGTGTGTGTGTGTGCGAGTGTGCGAGTGTGTGTGTCTGCGTGGTATGCTTGTTTGTGTGTGTGTTTTAATGCACTTGCTCATGAATAAAAAAATTTATAAAATAGCCGAAATAATTTATTTATGTACTTGTGTGTGTGCTTGTGTGTATGTGTCCGTGTTTATTGTCGTAACTTGGCTAATTGCAACACAATAAATTTTTATAATTTTTTTTTTAAATTTTTTTTCGTATGTTCCCTGATTTTAGTTGGATTTGAAACCACTCGAGGCGAGACAGTTTAGCTAATTGCGTTTATCACGACGCTCATATCCAGTTTTATAACTACGCCACACATCCGGATCGATTTACTTAAAAATTTTGTCAAATTTTTTCGCACGAAACGAATATTTATTTTTCTAATTAATGCGCACAGCTGCTGGCGCTCGACATTGTGTACCGTGTGCCAATTGGAACTATGTAGTCATGTAAGGAATTCATCGAAACATCGACTTGTTTGGCAACCGAATTTCTTATCGATGTATCGATATGCAGTCAGAGCGAGAATCAACAGTGGGTTTGACTTATTGATCTGGCATCACTGCAACGCAAGCTCAGTGTTGAGCAGTGTCTCACTTAAGTACTGAAAACTAAAAAAAAACTGCGTGTGGAAAACGCTGGCAGCGCAGCGTTTTCAGTTAATTTTACGTGCGATATATTTGATTTATAATTGTTAACGTGCAGTGTGTTTATGCGTATGTTAAGTAAAAGTGCGAACTCAAGAAACAAACAAACATGTTATAATCGGCCTACGTAAAGTAGACAAACGTTGTTCTACTTTATCCACATAACGCGCACACGCACACAATCACTCACCCTCTCACACACACACACACGCGCGCTTTAGTTGCGCTGCCGCTGAGTGACAACAGCTGCCGCTGCCTCCTCTCTGCCTTTGTGGCGGTGGTGGTGGTGGTCCCGCAGTCAAAATGTCGGACATTAAGTAAGTTGCGTGAAAATGCAAATAATTGCAAAAAAAAAATGTATAAAAAAACGAATGTGATAAATACAAGGCCAAAGGCTACGGGCTTTTTTAATTATTGCAACTGCAGAAAGTGAAATGTGCAGCATTTTGATTGCACTTAAATGTACATTCATATACATACATACTGCATACACACACATGCATACGCTCGCATACACATATTTTCAAGGTATTTGCCTGCGGACGTATGTGCATGTGTGTGGGTTTGCGTGTGGGTGCAGAGCCCAGTAGAACCTGCGTGCCATGAAAAACATACAAAAACCAGCATACATACGCAGTGCATACAAAATTTGTGACTTTCTCCAAAGACATTTCTATACTAAGTAGTATCCGGAACTGTTCCATACGCACGTATTTTTTCATTGGTGTATATTTTTATCAAAATATCAGGGATATCAATAAAGAAAAGAAAAAAGTATTATCGATTATTGTGTGCAATGATTTGTCAGCATAAAACTCATTACTATAACTGTGACATTGGATACATTTTTTGGCAGTTCAAGAAAAATGAAGCACATCAAATTGGCTCAGCAAATGCAAACCTTGTAATTCATTTAAATTTAGCTGAAATCAAATAAAATCAAACATATACATATAATGAAAAATGAAGCAGTTGAAACTTTTGCTGCAAAGACATAAGGTTATAGAAGCGATATAATTTGATAAATTTGTCTCATTGCAGTGACGATCTGCTCAACTATGAGTTAGGCCTGGGCGATGACATTGATGACCAGGCGCTGCTTGGCGCCGATGAGGATGAGCTGCTGCTCTCCGATGAGGGTAAGTTGTTCAGTTTGTGTGTGTGTGCCAGGCGTTGTTAGTTCCTAGTTGACTGTTGTGTATTCGTTGCTCAGAGCTTGAAAAGGATGTGACCAGCGAGGTGAAGCAGCAGATGCGCGCCGAGGCCGAGGAATGGGCACAGGAGCAGCTGCGCAAGCACAAGGAACAGCAGGTGGCAGCAACAATCCAGCAGCAGAAGCAACAGCAGCAGCAGAAGGATATAATTGCCGTTGAAAATGCCGCTTCTGAGCCGCAGGCAGCAACCAAAGAAACCCGACTAAACCGCGATTTACCTAGCGCAACTGTTGTGGCTGCAGCCGAGACAACCACAGAGCAAACTGCTTGCGAAACAGCGCCCCAGGTCACTGAACTGGCTGCAGCCACATCGACAACAACATCAACAGCTGCAGCAACAGCAGCGGTCGGTGAGCAAATGCTGCACGAAGCGATTAGGAACCCAGAGACAGAGCACAGGTCCGCAACGCCAGCAACCGACAGCAGTCAGACTGTGAATAATGGCAGCAATGCTGCCAACAAAGTGGAGCACAAGCCGCAACCGGTACCAGTACCAGTACCGGTACCGGTACCGGTACCGGAACCGGAGCCAGAGGTAGGCGGTGCCAAAACACCTGGCGGTCCTGGGCCATCCTCACTGCTGGCCTCCTCGCAGGAGAGCTTGCCCAGCGCTAGCTCCGCCTCCGCATCAGCGCTACCCGATCCGCGCGAGGACGACGACGAGCGTGAGGAGCGCACCAATTTCAAAACGGCCAGCGAACGCTCCGACAACCAAAAACAGCAGCAGCAACAGCAACAACATTCGATGCAGCAACAGATGCAAAGGCGACACCATCTAGGTAAGTGCCCCAACATCTTGCCAATTGCCTGTGTATTTACCCCTTGTAATGCCACAAGATGTATATATTTGATCATGTCTGTCGGACGACTATGTCAAATAGCTCTTGCAGGTGAACTATTGATCGCATTTGGGATTTTGTATACATTTTGGATACATTAAGCAAAACTAAGCGTGCTTTACTATCGAGTAACATGTGAGCTCCATTTTAATCCCAACAGAATTCCATTTCATAAATTTGATAAAATATCGTTCAAAAGGAATATAATAACGTTCTAGATTTTTAGTTTCAAGCTGATTTCTTTATTTGATTGACTCTCAGAGCTAGACACCTGAAATTTTTTAATGAAGTTACCAAATGGTTAGACAGGGAATATTTTTTAAAATTCCACATGTAACTGTGAAAAATTGGTGAAAATTGTTGCTGTGAAACTTTTTTGATTAGCAACCGTTCGAACTCAAATTCTTTTTGAGAAATCCCCGTGAAGTTTAATTTGCGACGTGTTTAACACTTTTTCGGAAAATCGACCCCCAGGAAGGGTATTTCATCCATCCATGGAGGTCAGAAGTTGAATACGCTCGACTCGTTCATAAAGTAATCAATAGCAGCCGAAAAACCATGCAATGCCCGCTTTTAGTTTCCAATGGAATATTTCTAATATATATTTGTACATTATACTTTCAATATAAGAGAAGAGTTACATTAACATGCGACTACTTTATCATTTTGTTATTTGAGATATTTTAAGCAAACTTTGGCTTGGCGTTTCCGGGTTTTACCCTGCTCTTAACATAGATCAACATCGGAGAGCTATATAATATAGCTCTATAGGAAGGATCGATCGAAAGAATATGTTTTTGTCTGGAAAACTGTTCTTTGTTTAATGATATCTTCAGTCGACTGAGCAAAACAAGTAGCATAGAGTATATGTGTCTGCACATCTGTTAAGTGGCTTCAGGAGTATTTAATCATTGGCACTTCTGGCTAAAGGCTTCATTTCAGTTATTAATTTCATCTTTGGTCTTGTAGACAAACCGCGCATGGGCGGCTCGGGCGGTCCTCGCTTTATGGCAGCCAACAACAATAATAACAACAACCAGAATAATAATAAGCGCGTGATGGGCGCACGACATCATCTGCTGCGCAATCCTGGACCGCACATGTTCAATCCGCCGCGCATGCTGGGCGCGATGCCGATGGCCCGTTTCCTGATGCCGCCGGGTAATGCACATGCACATATGGCCACGTTGATGGCGGCACCGCCAGGTGTAATTGCAACGCCGGTGGCTGCTTGTATTTTGGCCACGGCCACGCCTCTAAATAGCCATCATCAGCTAACGGCGAGCGGCATGCAACAGCAGCAGCAGCAACAACAGCAACAACAAACACTAACACATAACAAAACTGCATTCATTCCAGGCCAATATGCACCACCACAACCACCGTCAACACCCACACAACAACAACAACAACAACAACAACAGCAACAACAACAACAGTCGCCATACACCACAAACAATGCAGGTCCTGTTCCCAACGTTGGTCCCTCTCCATCCCCGCATCTACACAATCCGCACATGCTCCACCAGCAACACAACAACAATAACAACAACAACAATAATAATAATAATAATAATGTTGGTGGTGGCGGTGGTCCCAACGGCTTGCCACCACCCCATCTATTGCCGCATCCGCACTCTCATTCGCATCCGCACGACCAGGTGCGCGTGGGCCTGCTGCAGCCTCCGTTGCCATTGCAATTGCCCTATGGCAATGCCGGATATCGCAATGGCGCCCTGCTTGGTCAGGGACCACATCCGCCGCCAGTTGCGCCACATTCGCCTGGGATGCGTCCACCGCCGCCCTATCGTAATGCACCGCCTCCCGGCTATGGTCCGCCGCATGGACCCGGCTCTGGACCTGGTCCTGGTCCTGGTCCGGGCGGTCCCGGGCCTGGCTATGAGCCGCATCTGGGCGGTCAGTATATGCGACCGCACAACGGCTGGCGGCCACAGGGCGATGCGCCTGGCTCGCGCATGCCACGGCCCCCATTGCAGGCATTGCCACAGCATTTGATGTCCAGCGGGCCCAGCTATATGAATGGCATGAATATGCGCGCTCCGCCCCCACATCTACAGCAACAGCAGCAGCAGCAGCCAAATCCTGGCCCGCCCGGCGCACCCACTCAAGCCCAACAGCAGGCAGCGGCACAGGCCTCTGTGCCTCCCGGTCCCGGCTCCCAGCAGCAGCAGCAACAACAGCAGCAGCAATCGGCGCCGCCATCAGCGGTACCGCGCGGCGTTGTCAGCAAGGTGCTGATCAATCCGAACTTCAAGGGCGGCGTCGAGGCGGCAACCAACAAGTTCATCAAGGAGACACACTTTGTGCCGGCCATCAATAGCGATGCGGAACTGCTGCGTCAGCAGGAGGAGTTCATCAACAAGAATCGCCAGTACTTTGAGAAGCGTCGCATGGAACGGTCACCGCCGCCGCCCAGTTCCAACTCAGCGGCGGCATCGTCTGGAGCGCAGGGCGAGCGACGGCGCAGTCGCACACGCAGCCGATCGCGAGGACGCAGCTACTCGCCGCTGCCGTCGTCTCTGAAGCGTACCGAGCGCGAACGTGAACGGGATCGCGATAGGGAGCGCGACAGGGAACGTGAGAGGGAGCGAGAGCGTGAACGTGAGAGGGAACGAGATCGGGAACGCGATCGTTATGGTAGCGGTAGCGGAGGCGGAGGAGGAGGCAGTGGTGTAGCACGTCCAACAGCCGGCGGTGGCAGCAATCGTGGCTATCGGCGTGCCGCCAGCAGAGAGCGCGACGAGAATCGCAGTGGAACCGGTGCCGCAGCGCCAAAACGACGTCGCAGCGGCTCACCAAATGCGCCGCGCAATCCCTTCTCGGGCGAGCCGCGCAATCGGCCCGCCGAGAGCAGCGCCAGTGGCGCTCGCATCTTGGTAAGTGCTTCATTTAAGCGCAAGCTTATTTCTGTTCGGCTTGCTCACATAGTCACGAATTTACAGCCCAGCGACGAGGACGAGGAGACGCGCGCCTATCGCCTCGAGATCGAGAAGCAGAAGCAGTTGCGCGAGAAGATCATGCGTGACAAGGAGCTGAAACGGCGACGCGCCGCCGAGGAGAAACTGCATGAGGTGAGCGCATATATTTTCTTTTATTCCCCTTTCCGCTCATTTTCCACAGTGAGTTGCATGTGAAAGTTGCATAAAGTTCTAATATAGCCATTTAACGTTATGTTTGGAGCCAATCGGAAAATGCCCAATTTTTTTCCCACCTCCCGCCCTACCGAATACAAAATACGACCATATGCTAAGATTATCAGAAGACTTTATATGAGGTAGAGAAGAACAGTTCATGCGAGGCATAGTTAGTTGAGCAAAATTGAAGCGATAAAGGTGTTAGTCTAGTAGGGATAGAGCAATTAAATTGGCTATTTAACTCAGAAGATTCGATTTCAGCAGTAATTAGTTTACGAATAAATATTACACCAAGCATGGTAAGGAAGGAAGATGAATCATCAGAAGTCTGCTGGAGTATGACAGTAACCGCCCATCAGGCTCCCAATTTAAACCACGAAAAGCAAACAACAAGAATTATTTCTGCACGGATTCAGTTCTGTCTTGATGGATAGAATATTGTGGTGACCAGATACATGGGGTATACTTAAGCATAGCTCGTACCAAAGATATATAAAGGGTCTTTGTCGTGTACGGAACGTCAAACTCCTTCGACCATCGCTTGATGAAGCCCAAAACAATTCTGGCCTTATTGACCACGGTCTTAACAAGAGAGTCGAATTTAAGCTATCTTACTTAAGCTATCAAGGATTTAAAAAACCAATTGAAAGTCATTAGCTTACATTTGGAGCAGTTTAAATTTAAGACAGCAAACTTCACCAAGGCTGGCACGCATCAATGTCGGCTTGTAAAAGATAACATGATTAAAGAATCAAAATCCTTAAATCAATTTGCTTTAAAACGAGCTCAAAATCAAAACATGCGCTGCTAATATTTGATTATGCGATAAGTGTGCAACATCTCTTAAGTTTTTGTGGTCCAAAATCGGAAGGAAACTAGCTTCTAATTAGACAATTGCATAAAATATGGCGGATCTTATATATAGCATAAATCCCTCGCCCTGCAGGAAAAGCGCGCCGAGCAGCACAGTCCGGCACCACGTGAGGATCAAGAGGCAGTCGGTGGACAGGCGGCGAGCACAGCGCCGAGCAGCGCACAAAAACAGCGTCAGGCAGCGATGGGCAACGAGCGCAAGGTTATCTCCCTGAAGCGTCGCGATGACCTCGAGGCGAGCACCGGCCGCGGCAGCAGCCGGCACCAGTTGCAGCAGGTGCAGCAGCCAGCTACGGGACGCAAACAGCTAACGGCGGCAAAGATTGCACCGGAGGCGAAGCGCAGCATAACCGATCATTTGGCGCCATCGAGCAAACAGCAGCAGCAGCAGGCGCAGCTAGCTGGAGCAGCGATGTCAGATCGAGCCGCTGGCGGCACACCGCCCACAAGCAGCAGCAGCAGCAAGGGCACGCTGCGCCTGGGCACGCCCAGCGACGATGAGGTGGAGCTGGACTACGACGATGACGGTCTGCTGCTGGACGAGGAGGAGGATCGGCTGCTGGCGACGCCATCGCCGCCACCGCCGCAGTTGCGGGCAATTAAGCGGTCCGCCACACCGGAGCTGCTGGTGGTCAAGCGCAATCACAAAATTGTGCGCAGCAGCGGCGCGACGTCGGCGTCGAGCGCCAGCTTTGGACCAGGCCAACGGCGTGTGGTCCTCAAACCGACCTCCAGCAATGGCAGCAGCGGGGGCGGTGGCGGCGGCGGTGGCGGCTCCGAGCAGCAATCCTCGCACAGCAGCAGCGGCGGCGGCGGCGGCAACAGGCAACGAGAGCGTCGCCAGCGCGAGGAGCAGCTAACGCAACGGAAGGGCGGCAGCAGCAGCAGCAGCGCTGGGCCATCTGGAGCTGGTGGCGGCATCTTTGATCGTTTGGAAAAGCGACAGGCTTCAACCGGAGGAGGAGGAGGCAGCGGCAGCGGCAGTGGCGGCAAACAACGCAGCAAAGCGCCAACGCGAATTGTCCTCAAGCATGATTAAGCCGCAGCAGCAGTTTACTCGGCGGCAGGCGACGACGCCTCCAAGAACTAATCCGTAAATCGCCCTAAGCCCTAATGCGTATTAAGCATCTATAGAAGATTATATGTATGTAAAGATAAAGATGTAGTCATCTGCAGCGGATCAAGCGAGACAGCGGCGGCGACTGCCGGCCAGAGGCTGCTGCAGCAGAGATCTGTCGTGGCGAGGCGAGGCGAGGCTTGGCTTAGACTAAGCGCAGATTTATTAATGTTTTTTTTCTTAATGTTTAATCCCAACAACAACAACAGCTAATTGGCTATACGTATTTTTCATACAACACCTTTTAATTATAATTGTATATATATATACACACACACACACACTCACACACATACACACACACAAGAAGCATTATTAAAAAGAAAAGAGAAAAGAAAAAGGAAAATCTGAAAATTTGACAAGCGTCGCAGCAGGAAAAACGGAACAGAAAGCTTAGGCCTAAGTAAAATTATTAACCGCTTGATGATAAACAAAAAAAAAAAACAAAAATTATATTAGTAATTATTCACTGAATACGATGATGTTGACGATAGGGATTAACAAATATATATAAATATATATATATATCTTATATACATATATGTGTATGTATAGCATTAAGCATAAACTTAACTGTAACTGTACAAAACAAAAACAAAAACAAAAAACACAAAAACTAGGACTAAATTATATGCATCTCTACGCTAAATATTTATATATATATATACCATAAATATACATATATATATATATGTATATATAAATAAATTGACATTTTTTTGTTAACCCTCTGATATCTCAAAAGCCCAACTTGATAACGACCACGCCCATGCCACGAAACTTGTATTTGTATTTAATTTAATTTAAATTAATTATATCATACAATAGACTAATTTAATAATTAATTCAACAATTCGCGCGCTTCAAGCGCCGCAGCTGGACAGATACACACACACACACACACACACACACAAACACACAAACACATACACACAATATTTAGTTGCATGACTATACAAATTACTATCTATTAATAACTGTATAATCGATATTAATAACTAGAGTTAAGATATATTACATACATATACACATATAGACATATATACTAGTCTTAAGTCACGTAAAGATTTTATATGACCAGACGCAACAAGCGAATATTATGTTTAACTTTGCTTTTACTATCGATTTTTTTTTTTTTTGTTTCTAGTTATATAAAACTACAAAATAATAGTAATAGATGCTGAGTTTCTTAAAGTGTATACTTTTTATTTGATTTCACTTGTTTTCCTGACTGTACTGAAATTATTCTGTCTGTGCTTTTGTCTATGTTCATGTTTGTGTTATTTGTATTTGTACGTCGGCTCCAATTCAGATCCTGCTCCCCTTTTGCTGTCGTGTTGTGGCCTCCATAATAATCCATATTAAAACAACAAAAAAACAAAAAAAACCAAAAACAAAAGATATGAAAAAAAATATGTGTCTCCAAAACTGCGGAGCACAAAAAAGCATTACCATAATGGCCTGTTAAAAGTTAGGGAAATCCGTTAGAACCGCAATATAATGCAGTTTTTTCTGTTCCTGGAAAAAAAAAAACCAATCCGAAAATGCAAAAAATCAATAAAATTAATGAAAATAGACATACTTAAAGATACATATATATACTTATATAAACATAAGGCTATAACTAATATTAAGTTTTGATGTTCATGCAACACGCACGCATACATACATGCACATGCACACATGCGTGTGCTTCTGTGTGTGTGTGTGTGAGTGTGTGTGTGTGTGTATGTGTGTGTGTATGTGGCGCCTGCAAAGCCATAGAGAAAATTACATAAAGAAAATATAGATATCAGATAAAACTGTTAAATTATTGCAAATTTAAATTTAAAATCCAAACAAAATCAATACAAAAAAAAAAACATTTTATTTCAATTTTAATGCAATTAACTAAAGATAAACTGTATAATTAGCGAAATAGAAGCAAAGAAAAAATTATAGGCATAAGCTAAAAACTAGTTTTAAGCTTAAAGAGATTTAAATTAAATTTAATTTAAGCTTAACTAAAAACAATATTTAAATCACAATTATTCAAATATATATTTATACATATTTATATGTATATGTTTATATATATACATGTATGCATATATGTATATATATTGTATTTAAAATATTATATATATATAATAAAATCTTGAGATTTATATAAGCTTAGAAATTGTGTAAGAGCTAAAAAAAAAAGCCCTGGCAAATCTTAAATATATACATAAATACTTTATTTATATATATATATATTTAGCTGTGAGAAATATTCTCAAAATGTTTAAAACTTTTTTTTCTTGTTTTAGCTTAATTGAAGCGTCATTTTCGATTTGCCCAGACCCTATATATATATATATAGATATATTGTAAGGCTTTAAAGAAGAAAAAAAAAAACATAACTGATTGAATGCATGCAAATTGTGTGCTTCATGAATGTGTGTGTTTTTTTTTTTAATAATAATTTTTTTTGTGAATTTATAAAATGTTCAAATCTAAAAAAATGCTAAATACCACATACAAGTAGTGTCCCTGTGTGTGTGTGTGTGTGTTTCGTGTGTGTGTTAGTAAAAGAAAAGTCTTAAAACAGAAACGCATACAAAACTTATAAATATTCAATAATACACTACACACATACTAAAAATACGAATATATATATTTATATATATATATATATAGATATATATATATAGATATATATATATAAATTATGAACTAATAAAATCGAAAGTATATTGCATATATATATATAATATACCTATTACCTTAAAAAACAAGCCTGTATATATATAACTCTGTGCATAATTCCTTTACAAAAACAAAACGAAAAACTAACGAGTAAGAGAAACGAATAGAAACGAATTCCTAAAAAAAAAGAAAAAAAAAACTAAAAACACTCGTTGAAATCGTAGAGGACTTAAGTATTCCAAGTAAACCAAACGAGTCTGTGATTAATTTTGATATATTTAAATTATGATTATGATTATTCTTAATTACGTTTACACAATTCCATAAGCCTTAGTTCTAATTGTTTAAATCTATCTCACACGTTTCGTAAAGTATACTTTTTATTATTTCTTAAGCGAAACAAAAACAAATCTAGAAACTAAGCACAACCAACAACTTAAAACCAAATACGTTGCTTAATAAGTACTCAAATTCCCGCACATCCATTCACATTCACACACAAATTCCATATATATATATATATATATATATACACACACAGACACATACTATACTATATCTATTTAAATGGTAAATTATGTGTTGTCCATAGTTACAATTGAAAAGTGCACACACACATAAATGTGATAAGCAAAAACAAATCTAGTTGATATTATGTGTAAGTAGATCTAATAATTTTGATTTTTCCATTTCCATTCTATTCTACATATATTTCTCCTCTTTTATTTTTGTTTTTTTTTGCCGATGCTCAAACACATTTCGAATAATTGTAAATCAGCCTCATATATTCACATCGAATATTTCTCTTTTACGCATCAAAAACTCATTTTCGAAAACGATTTCGATATCGATTTGGCTTTCAGGTGACATAACCTCGAAAGTAGCAACTATTTTCTTGATCCAATTGGGAAATTGAATTTCTTATATAAATGTGTACAGCACAAAACAATGCTAAGACGATGAAATTGTTATAAACTTGGTTAATTCGTTGTGTGCACGATTAAACGTACATATATATACATATATATATATATACACATATTTATTATTTAAGATTATGTGTCTACGATTTGTAGAGCCTAACTAGTCTAGCTTTTAACTTAGTCGTATTTATTTAATTTGTTATATTTTGTTACTGACTTGATTTGTTTAATTGTTGTACAAGCCGCGCCCCCACTCAATCCATTTCCCATACAAGTTTGTTTTTTTTTTTTCCAACATTTATGCAAATGATACAAATATTAACCTAACCTCAAAGTTTGTAGCCTGGCCAATGCGAGCGTCGACTATCTCTTTCCCTCTGCTGGCACTTGGCTAACGCTTGGCTACTCTAGTCTGTGGCTGGGCTGCTGTCTCGTGCGGCTAGCTCCGTCTCGTTCGCACCCGTTGCCATTAAGTTAATTTTAAAATTGTCGCCATAAAACGAAAACAAACCATAAACTAATTTTCTTTCAGCACGAAATTCTGTACAAAAAACGCGATGAAAAAACGTACAAAAACCAAAAACGAATACGAAAACAAAAACAAAAACAAAAAGAAATAAACAAAAACCAATTATGAGAGAAAAGAGCTAATTGCAAAATGCAAAATTATGATCAAAATCAAAGAAAACAAACAAATAAAATGAGAAACAAAGAAAATACATTGCATAGTTCAAAATGAATGCCATACGAAGGACTACGGCGCGCAGCTTGCTAAAGAAGAAGACTTAATAAAACTGATATATACAACCGATCTATATATATGTACATATGCATATATGCACGCATGGGCGCTGGATGCTTGCATATATACATATGTATGTGTGTGTACATGTATATTTTTTACAGCATTCCAATTGCATATTGTGTTTTCATTTCGAATTCCCAACCACTTACAGTCAGTCCCAAAGGCAGCTAAGCAACGATCATTAGGGATTGACTCTATATAGGCCATTATGGCCTTTGATTGGGCCTATATGGGTTGCAATATATATTATAACAGGAATAATGTTGCCAGCTTTAGATGCCAAATTGATCAAGAGGCCGAACCATGAACAACGAGCCAAGCCTCGTGCAAATCTCATGAGATTTGACCAAGTTATGGGGCTGGGAAAGTTTGACCTATGTCTATATAGGATATTTGAGGGTACCAATTTCAGATGAATTTTGACCAAGAATAATGTTGCCAGATTTAGATGCCAAACTGATTTTGTATATACATACATATGTATGTATGCATATATGAATGTATTCATGTGAATGAATATGCATTCGTGTATGAATGAATGATTAAATGAATGTGTGTATGCAATTATGTATGTATGTAATTATGTATGTATGTATGTTTGTGCGTGTGTGTATGTAATTATGTATGCGTTTATATGTATGTATGCATGTTAATTGTCTTATATACCAATAGGAGATCAATTTGTCTTGTTGCGCGGCAAATTTAAATAAGAAAACGTATTTATCAAGGCTGCTCTCCTCCTCGATTCTCAAAAATGTAAGTAAGGCCTGCAGGCTTCGCCTATGAATTAGGCGCAGGCGGCTTCAACGCTGAAAGCTGAGGAGCCGGAGGAGCGTCAAGGGGGCGGAGCAGGAGGCGTAGGTATGTATGTAGGTAGGTATGTAGGTAGGTATGTATGTATGCAGGTAGGTATGTATGTATGCAGGTATGTATGTATGTATGTATGTATGTATGCAGGTATGTATGTATGTATGTATGTATGTATGTATGTATGTATGTATGTATGTATGTATGTATGTATGTATGTATGTATGTATGTATGTATGTATGTATGTATGTATGTATGTATGTATGTATG